TCTACAGTTCAACCATGTTTCAAAAATAGAAGCTAAAAATCCCCGAAAATTCGCTTGAAGATGAAATGGAACTAATGCTTTTAATTTAATTGCAAAATTAAATTCGGGTTTTTAGCTTCTATTTTTGAAACATGGTTGGAACTCTGTAAAAAAAAACCATATTTTAAATCAATTAATTTATAATATTAATGCTCTGTAAATTTACATTGAGCACTATTTTGTAAAAATAAAAAAATCTATAAGAACACCGGATTTTATATCTTTCTTTTTTTTATATATATATATATATATATATATATATATATATATATATATATATATATGATAAGTTTTAATTTATGTGTTATATTTGTTTTTTATATACTCAATATCAGAGACAGAGCGGGTGTAATTTTAAAGGCGCAAATATAAAGAAGTGATAGTCACGCTAAACAAATTAGTGAGACGGACTGTCACCGCATTATATTCACATACAATTCTATTTTGACTGGTGAATTCAATGTCCACATTCATATATATATATATATATATATATATATATATATATATATATATATATATATAGTGTACCAGAAGTCGCGCAACATTCAGGTTTTCATAACCAGACGCATAAAAAACACCTTCATTCATCATAATCTAAATAGGTGCTCAATTTGTACAATCCTTGGAATAAAACAAGCATCAATTCTTTCATCAAACTGTACTAAACTCTACTTAGGATTTCAGTTTGGATCTTTTGGCACTTAGTTTTTGTTGCATCCTTCAAATTATCAAGAGTGCGTGGACGATTCATGTGCTCAACAGATTTGAGATGTCCCCAAAGCAAGGATAGATCTGGTAAATTTGTGAATCATGAGAATACAATGCACTCATGATTTGCTAATCGTTAGCAGTGGTATGGCGGCGTAATGGTTGTTCTCGCTCAGGGTGATTGACGTTGAATTCTTGAGCTACAGAGCGGTGTGTCGCCCCATCTCTTCCATGGGGATGGCGCGCGACTTCTGGGACTATATATATATATATATATATATATATATATATATATATATATATATATATATATGTGTGTGTGTGTGTTGTGTGTGTGTGTTCGTGTGTGTGTGTGCGTGCGCGTGTGTGTGTGTGTGTGTGCCTGTGTGTAATGTAAAATACTACCTATATTCATAACGAAAATGTGTTCAATATCGGAGAGAGAATTGTAATTGAGAATAAAATCTCTGGCTTAATAACTTCCTGCTACTCCCAAAACACGGGGGTCATCATTTTCCCTGCAGAGCATGCTCCCTTCAACTTCTTATTTTCTGGTGAGTATGTGTTTAAATCAAGCGCAACAGTTACATAAATATTTACTGACCTCCCGTGGATGTTTGGAGCCAGTCTTCTCGCAAAACAGAAAGTCTATGAAAGCTCCTTGTTTTCGACTCGTGTCCAAAACTGGCAGCCATTTCGAAATAGAATTATTGGTAAAAAAAAAAAAAAAATGAAAAGCAACTCTGCAAGTACTTATGTGATTTTCCAGACAGTTTGCGTTACAGACACAAAAAATACGATCCCTTACTAAAGCATTTAATATTCATATACATTTTGACCGATATTCGTGATATACACCCTTGTCCATATGAACAACGAACAAGTGTAGCTCGCTAATCTGTGGTCTTTCTGACGCCAGGTGATATACATACGTTTGAAACACACTGAATTATTATTATTATTATTATTATTATTATTATTATTATTATTATTATTTCCTTGGATTACTGCTGTATACAGATTTACCCCAGTGTCCCAATCAGAGATCTATGGTCAGAAATTGCTTCATGATATTTTCCACTGAACAGTTTTGTAAAAAAAAAAATTAAAAAAAAAAAAAGCCTAAGATTAAATGCAATATACATATATATACATATGGATAAACTACGGGGAATTCTGAGCTGAAACCTTTATTTAATCTATGATGGTAGTCTGTTCTGGTTCTACTGCTCATGTGAGGTGATATCGTTTATTTTTTGTTTTATTTAGTTTATTTATTTATTTAGTAATATTTACGTAGTTCGGATATTTGCTCGCTCGTTTCCATTAAGTGTAAATACACACTGCCATTCTCAAGGATTTAACTATCAACCAATATGTAAATGATGATAATTCTTCATTGCAGACATTCAGACAAAAACATTTATGGACGCAGTGCTGCTGCTGTATTTATATATGTGCATTTTTTTGTTATCGCGCGTTTTAAGAACTCTAAATAAATAATACACTGGTGTTCCTATTACAAGCAAACATTATTTTTCATTGCAGCTTAGATTTGAATGTTTGTTGTGTATATTTATCCTTGACAATCCATTACATTTTGCGTTGAACATTATTGTATTTTACTATTCTGGAAATTTATTCTTAAACATCTCCTCTGATTAGTTGTGAGAATGATACATTTATCATTACTATTTCTTCCCATAAATGGAAATAACTTATGATTCAATTTATTATTGCGTCTGTATATTATTTCGTTATCATTATTTACCACAACACTTTAACGCCAAATGTGAGTGACTGAAAAAAAATGTTTAAAACCCCAACACCAAGGACGGTGCTTATTTTTAAGTAAGTCAAATAATTTCATCCGCGGAATGTTTATTCTCTTCCACACTTTACTAAACTTATATAAAATTTACCGCTGAAATATTTATCTGAACCACCATGATTATTTAAAAAAAAAATGATTAATATCCATCTCCATGATTATTCAAGCCGGTACGTTTCTTGGTAAAACAAGAGGACATTTATCGAAATCGTTGTCGGCCATGTTGGATTTTCCGTGCACTCTTCCCGACACCCTTCTCACTCATAGATACCATTGTATTTCGGATTGCGATCTGAATGATTATAGTTTTAATTATTAACATTGAAGTTTTTGCTATGAATAGTAAACAGTTGCAGGCACTAATGAAAAGGTTTTGTGAGGCAAGACAGTTTTCTCGTGTTTCTAGAACGGACAAAGAAAAAATAAAACAAAACAAAAAAACTGCCATAAACACATATAATCCCTTTTACGGTGAATAACGATGCTTCGCGTGAATAATTGTCCGCCTGCTGTATTTCTATTCAAAATCCGATTCCCGCTGAAACTCCATATTTACTGGACTCTGTTTCCGGCTGTTACATCCGGGGAATACTGATAGCAAACGAAGCACAAAAGAAAAAGAAAAAAGACAGAAAGTACTAAAGAAAGGAAGAAAGAATATTAGCAAAATTAAAACAACCAAACTTGTGTTCATCGTATTTTATTCTTACTTAGTTATTCTTTGTTTATTTAGTATATTTTCTATAAGTTTTCTTATCACGGCTTTCATTCTCTTTTTCTTGTTTGCGCATTCGCACGATTGGTGCTTCTTATTTTCTGCGAATGAATCTTTTGTGTAACGTATCTCTTGTGTAGTTATGACTACTTTTCTTTCTGTTTGCGTTGCTGATAAAGTTGTTTGCAATCATTGTATTTTTTCGTATATTCTTCTTCTTCTTCTTCTTCTTCTTCTTCTTCTTCTTCTTCTTCTTCTTCTTCTACCTACAAATTTCCCTTCATCGCCGTCTTTCAACACAGAAAACATTTTCTCTTGTGAAAAAAAAAATACCAAAGGACTTGCACTCGAGACTATTATCACCAGGTTTTATTCATTTATACCCGTTTAAATTGTTTATTCTTATAGTTTAATTGAATTGATTTATGTTTTCTTTATATTGACATTGTGTTCGTAAGTTTTGAAAAGTTAATAACGATTTTTACCTTTTCTTTAATCTTACATTCTTTTTCTTCCCATTTATTTTAAAGCAAAGTTCATAAATGCTTTCACCGACATCTTTTCATAGCATCTCAGATACAATCTCATTTTCATTTCACTGGCGATAAATATTTCTTTTTTTTATCATTATCAAATGTATTTTCATACATCCTGTGTCCCATAAACATATTAGGGCTTCAAGTGACTGTTAATATCCTTTATTTCGTAAGTACATATTAGCTTGGTCGGACCATGTCCCTTTTGTTTATTTAAGGCCAAGAAATGTTCTTCTTCTTCTTCTTCTTCTTCTTCTTCTTCTTCTTCTTCTTCTTCTTCTTCTTCTTCTATAATAACTATAATCTTCAAAAATTTAAATGATATAACAGTCGACATCTTCTGATGTCATGATCCCTATTTTTATTTTTATCCTTCTCCGTTCTTCCCTTTATCTTTTCCTCAATCGCCTTTTACCAAGTTCTTTTTCGCTTTAATTTCACTGTCTGTAGTTCCTTGCATAGTAGTAGCACACCCGCTTGGGCTTAGGTGAAATGCTTAAAGAAATAATAATAATAATACTTCCCAATTATTTAAGTTTTTGTACTTGTTTGGTTTCAGTCTTACCAATTTTAATTTGTATATTGGGCTGTTTCATTTGCTAACATCCATGAATTATTGCAGTTGATTCTTACTCCTTTCATCTCGCTTACCTCCACTGCCTTCCCTTCACTAGAGTTTTTTTGTAGTTCACTCTCCGTGTCTGCTATCAACACTGTATCATCGGCATATCTTATGATGTTAAGATCGTGGCCATGAATAATTATAACTTCTTTCTGTCAATATATTCAAACAGATAAGACATTACAACTATTATTGATCATCGTTTGATCTGACTGAGGAAAATCTAGAAACGGTCCACCATTGCTTAATTCAAGGGAAATAACTCTAATATGACCAATGGTTGCAAATAAAATATACAAATTATTAAGCATTGTCTTCTTAATTGGCCTGAATGACACGTTTGAATCTGAAAGTTCAATTACATAATAAAAGGTTTTATTACCCAACACCCCAATTAAGTTTAAGTGTTGACATATACAAAAAAAAAATTAAATAATTTGATTCTAATATATCTCTAACGGACATCAAGATCTAAATCTAGACGTATAGCAAATCCATATATACAACAATATAACATCGCTTAATGTATTTTCTTTATCTTTTCAGTGATAAGAGTCGATTCTGTGTCTCCAACCAGTCACGTGCCAGTTATTATTGGTGTTTTAGTTGTCTTCGTCTTCCTCGTTATAACATTCGCCATTTTGCTTATGATCTGGAGGTGAGTAATTTTCATCCATTTTATGAAGATGTATATGTGGTGTTTTGTTAAATTTAATTATTTGTTTACTTTTATTTTTGTATTTTCCTAAATTTCGAGTAATTTCATTCGCAACTAAATTAAGTCGTGAATACTGATTCCAAAGTTTGACGAAAAATGTTTTTATTCTAACACTATTTGATAAATTAATTTGTCTATGAAGTGAAGGTCTGTGATAACGTCCAATGCATAAACGCACTTATACGACACTCGTAGATTCGTAATTGAAATGTTAAGTTTAAAAAAAAAAAAAAAAAAAAAAAGGCCGGAATGTCGCCGACAAAACCTTACCTCTCAGGTTGGCAGAATTCTTTTCTCAATAATGACTGACACAGTCGAAAGCACTGGAACAAAGAAATAGAACAAAAATGAACTATTGACAAGCTTATGAAATTTATAGTAAAATTGGGAAAATACAATAACATTTATAAAGATAGATATTTTCAGCTTGAATTTAATAAAAAAATTGTTTACTTTTATTCTTCTAAGTATAGTTTGTACGTTATAATTACACACACACACACACACACACACACACACGCACTAACACACAGACACACGGACAGGCAGATAACAGACGCGCGCACACACATAAAAATACAGACACACACATATACATGTCTGTGTGTGTGTACTAAAACTTAAATATAAAACTTATCTTAGCCGATGGGTTTCCTCCCGTGAGGGGGTATATTGCCTTGATAATGTCCTACAGGTGATGAAACGCCTCAGTTAGGATAAGTTTTCCCTTTGTCTTTATTCATATTGTCCATTTATAGATTATATATGTGTGTGTGTGTGTGTGTGTGAAAAATATATAGAAAATAGGAAAGAACTCGTTAGGTAAATAATACAAAGTTCTTTAGTATATGTGTTATTATTTTTAAAAAGATAGTGCTCGACACATGAGACATGAGGACTCTTATGTAGCGTGTTGGAATCATATTTTAAATAATAAAGTATATATATATATTTATAAATATATAATATATATATATATATATATATATATATATATATATATATATATATATATATATATATATATATATATATATATTATAAAGTATATACATATTTTATATATATATATATTATACTGTATTTTACAAAGTTACAAAGAAAAAACACACACACACACACACACACACACACACACACACATATATATATATATATATATATATATATATATATATATATATATATACAGAAGAGGATGCTATGTATAAATTGTTGCCTAAACTACACAATGATGAAAATAACACTGACATCTCATTTTACATGTTTATTTACCATCGTAATTACACAAAATATCTTGAAATATGAAAGAGTAAATTTATTCAATAAAAACGACATTCGCTTCAATCTTCTGCAACTTTTCAGGACAGTCTCATTCATTAAGTTGGTTAATGTTGCCATACTCATTGTCTTCCGTTCATTTTTGGTCTTACAATCAGTTTTGTTGTGTTCTCGCTCAACTGCGTCCCACACATAATACGAAAGTAAGTTGCAGTCTGGCGAGATAGGTGGCCATATGTTAGGGTGACGAATTTGCAGAAATTGTCTGACAACCATGACTGAGTTTTCACTGCTTGTGTGGCATGGTGCAGAGTCATAGGGTTTTTCAGCAGCCACACTCTTGACTCAGGGCTACCTCTTCAAGGCACTTGATCTTGGCCTTCGTGTTGAGTCTTCTTTTCTTATAAGAACGATCAGAGTGAGTTTTTCGAGTTGCCGTATTTTCGTAATTGACATTAGACTCATCCAAATCTTTCCGAATCCTCCGTACTGTCCTCATAGTGATATCGAAACACTCTGAAATTTTCTTATTGGGGCTTCCGGCGCGAATGCCAAGCAGAAGTTTATGCCATTTTCAAATATCTGGCCAAAAAATTGCGTCATTCTGCTCATTTTCTCCCCGACGGTGCCCAACTGACCCAGCTATTCTGTGCAGTCGACAAAATCAAATACAAACACCGGGCATGCGCGAAATTAAAAATATAAAATGACGACAAGTTAGCCATCGTACCCTGTATATCGTGTAATATGGCAAAATAGGTAGGAGCCACGTCAAGAAATTATTTACACCCAACAGCGATATGGCTACTATTATCATATGCAATTATCGAATCAAACAAGATTGCCCGTTACAGAGTAAATGTTTAAAGAATAACGTTATATATATCATCCGTTGTGATGACAAAGAAAAGTATTATATTTGGGCTGGGGAGAGTGTGTGTGTAAAACCGGTCATTATAATCATACACTGATCATGTGTAATAACAATTACAAGAATGCTTATTATTGGAAGATTAAAGAAACGCGTAAGCTCTATCCAATTATTAA